GAAGCCTACTTGATCATGGTGTATGATTTTTCTGATGTGTTCTTGGATTAGATTTTTCAGTATTTTATTGAGTATTTTTGCATCAATGTTCATGAGGGAGATTGGTCTGTAGTTCCCTATCTTGGTTGTGTTTTTGTGTGGTTTGTGTCCTAAGGTAATTGTAGCCTCGTAAAAAGAGTTTGGCGGTGATCCTTCTGCTTCTATTGCATGGAACAATTTGAAGAGTATTGGTACTAGCTCTTCCATGAATTTGTGGTAGAATTCTGTACTGAAGCCGTACTGTCTTCTTTCCATCTCTTCTTCCAGTGGGCATAGGGGAAGTTTCTCCCTCTCCTGTTGGGTATGGGTTCAAGGATCTATCCTCTCCTCCCTCTGCTCCCTCTCTCCCTCCCCTCTCTCTCCTGAAGAAGTTGGAGGGGCAAGACCAGAATGGTGGCTGATGATGGTGGCTGCTTTCTTCTGTCTGCAGGTCCCTCTGTGGGGTTTGGTGACAGGAGTGGTCCTGCAGCTGCTAGTCAGGGGAGTTGAGGAGGGGTAGGCTGGCTGGAAGGGGCCTGGGGACTTACTTATCTATCAGAGGGAGGAGGGGTGAGACCAGAATGGTGGGGGATAATGGTGGCTGCTTTCTTCTACCTGCAGGTCCCTCTGTGGGATTTGGAGGCAAGAGGAGTCCTGCAGCTGCAGGTCAGGGGACATGTTCCCATTTGTAACATGGAGAAAAACTTTATTTTGTTTTAAATTAATTTCCCCCCTTAAGAATTCTTAGGTGTCTCTCCAGATTTGGTGATGATAATGGTGAAACATGAGAACGGCTGTCACTGTAAAGCACATATAAGCAGAGAATACAGGTGTCTCATGGCCTGGCTGAGGGCAGCTGCAGCCGCTTGCATGTAGCTGGGATCTGAGAGTGGGTGGCGATAACAGCAGCAGTAAAAGCCAGGGCAGTGTCCAGGCAGCTGACCTGATGTGGCAGTGACCTGAGGATGGGTTCCTTGGAGAGATGGATCTGCCCACCTGAAGATTAGACACAATGGGGGTGTGCAGAAGATTCATGAATGTCTGGAGTGGCAGGAAGTGAGGGCATGGAGTCATCTGAAGGACAGAACTACCCAGTAAAGAGTGGCTATGCCTATGGAGTTTGGAGCCATGCAGAGATGGCAGCTAGAGGCTGTTGTAGAGAGTCTGCAACAGGAAAATCCCAGGCTTGCTCAGAGGACCTGGAATTATGGAGGAAAAGACAGCCAGTCGTGGCTCCAGTGCCTGCAAAGCCAGGGGTGAGTGGCTGCCTCATGATTTTTGTGTCCCCAGTTGGAGGACAGATAAAGTGTTTATGTAATTATTCTTTATCAATAAAAACTTGGGAGTCAGATAATTGGGTAAGAACCCAAATGATCAGAGAAGAGTTGGACAAGCTACCAGTGACCTCTGCTCTTTCTTGTTCCTTGATCCAAAAAGTGTTGAGACCCTCTTTAAGCCCAACACTACTATTTCCCATCTCTCTACCCTCAGTCCTCCAAAATCTCTATGGTTAACTTTTGTCAGATAGTAGCTAGCTCTGTCCTTTGAATAAAAACAAATTTTTACTGGCAGTCCTGGAGCATCAGAATGTGATCAAAATATCACACAACACTATTAGTCATATATACATGTTCAATGTACTTGCACCATATTTATCCTCTGAATCTTTTTTGCAGTTTCATGTCCATTTATTATGACAATCATAGATTCATGTAAGCAAAGACTTTCACAATTAAATGTTCTAAGAGTTAAAGTACTAATTTTGCTTTTCTTTGCTGGAGTCAGAGGTAGACTGCCTCCAGGAAGCATTGCATTATGGAACTTGCAACTGGGACTTGCATTACGGAAGACCCAGTTCAGTGAACCTAACAAAAAGACCACAGAACATCAACAGAGACACAGAGAATCCAAACAATCTGAGGAGTAGTGAAGGAGGACACTTTCTGATTCCTCTTCCAAACTGTCATATGCTCTAAATCTTACTAGGCATAGTTTTTGCAGTCCTTCTGAGTGAGGGCTTCATTGAAAATTTTCTTTGTTAACTTACTTGGTCTTGAATTTTGGAACTATTTTCATTTGGAATACTTAGTTCTATATGATATATTGATTAATTCATACCAGTTATCTGTAATAAACTATGGACATCATCTAAACACTATTAGTTAAATATTGAGATACTCACCCTTATCTGCTTTTCATGTATCATAATTTAAAAGATATTAAGCTTACTTATAGAGTGATACTCTAAGAAAAATGCTACTAAATATACTTATTTAATATTTTAGTTTATTGTTAAGATGAACCTAAAATATACAAAGAGGATACAACTATAATGCTTGCCTTTATGTTTTGTCACATGAAATATTAATGCCAAACTTTGTCCTAAGGATTTGGTTTCATATACTAATAATTTAACAACTGTTCTTAATATTTGAGACATAAAGGCAATTAAAATAGCCAATATTTGTTGCAATAAAATTAAAAGAATCTTAAAAATATTTTATTTTATTTTTATGCCATGTGCAATTGTAGTTTGATTCCATGTATGTCTGCATGAAGATGTTAGATCTCCTGAAACTGGAGTTACATGCAGTTATAAGCTGCCACATGGGTGCTAGGAATTGAACCCTGGTCCTCTGAAAAAGCAGCCAGTGCTCTTAACTTCTGAGCCATCTCTCCAGCCCCCAAATAAAATCTCAACAGATCAAACAGTCTTACATTTTTGCCAGAAATCTTTCTATTGCTTGTACTGAGTAATTTCTAGACACATACGTTTTTAAACTAAAATATTAAGAAACCAAATTATTTATGAAACTCATTATCCCCAAATACCACACACATACACAAATACATGAACATCTGTACCTCCATTTTCCTATTATTACAAAGTAACTATAGGGGTTGAGGGTATGGCAAATTGATATAGCATATGTTTAATTAATATGTTTAAAGACCTGGGTTTTCTTTTCAGCATTACACACACACACACACACACACACACACACACACACGCACACACGCACATGCACACACACACAGATATACACACATACACATACACAAACTGAATTGTGATTTAAGAGTCTTTAGAAATTATTTTTATAATACATTATTTTTATATACTATGAATGCTACAAGCATTAGTGAAATAAAAAAATAATTCCTACAAGTATGTGTATTCACAAGACGTAAGTCCAGTAAATTCTGACATTCAAGACATGATTCACTTTGATGCTGAGATAACTTGAAAGAGGCTTGAAGAGCTGGAAGAGAGCAGTTTGTGGAGGTGAGCTGGTAGCTGGATATCTTAGCCGTAAGGAGAAAGCTCTCTGCATGCAAATTTCTGGAAGAGAAGTTTTGTATCCAAATCATTTATTGTCTTTCTATTCACACAAAGAGGCTATCAGGTCAGTATATAAAAATTAAAGCAGCAACCGGTTTTAAACATGTTTTCAGCTTTCCCAACAGGATTATACTTGCTTGTTTCTTTCGTTGGGCGTGTCAATATGATATTGGCACATAGAAGAAAAAAATGCTTGTAATGAAGGAGTAATTGGAGGCACCATTTTTTCTTTTCTTTCCTTTTTTCTATGAAAATCCTTAGTTGTTGGCATAAAGAGGATACAGTTGAGTAGACTGAGATAAAAAACCCAGTTTAGCTTAATTTAGATGAACTCAGCAACAGCTACAAAGTTAAAATACAGCAATGTAATTCCATGCTTATATAATGCCACAGAGTTTCTGCTAGGCGATTATGCAATACTGTTGCAACAGTATTCCAACTGGCTCTCTCTTTAACTAAACAAATAAATTAGTTACATCAAGGAAGCATTTAGTATACAAAACACTTCACTATGCTTACTCAAGGGAATCTGAAGTTGTGTTCACTGGAATCTTGATGATGACCTTCCTGGCAACTGCCAGCAAAGCAGAATTGTGTGTTTTGCTTCCCCCTCTCCCGCCCACTTTTTATAACAACACAATTTAAAAGATGAATTGGCTACTTTAACTTTGCTAATTTGGAAATGCCATATTAGCATATAAATTGGGCTCTGTACTTCCCTTCAGATCAGCTTGCCCATCTATTTACTGTGGGTAAGTTTCTCCAACTTATAGACATGACAGTAAAGTCTGTCCTTGTAGGAAAACATTTGATGTCCTGGCTATAATAGAAATGACAACAAAGATGATAATCTAGTTGTCACTATGGTAATATTTTACCTCTATGAATGATGCCTTTTCTCAGTATTGTACTTCAAATTAGCAAATATCCATCATAGGAAAATGGTTAACCTTGATTGTCAACTCAATGAGATTTGGAATCACCTTGAAGACACATTCCTGGGTATGTCTAATGGGAGATAATGCTATTGTACACTGTAAAGATTTGTCACTTGTATTGGATTAACAAAATGCTGATTGGCCAGTAGCAAGGTAGGAAGTATAGATGGGGCAACCAGACTAGTAGAATTCTAGAAAGAGGAAAGGCAAATACATAGTCACCAGCCAGACACAGAGGAAGCAAGATGAGAATGTCTTGGTAAGGAAAGGTACTAAGCCACATGTCTATATATATATATATATATATATATATATATATATATATATATAAGAACTATGGGTTAATTTCAGTTGTAAGAGTTTGTCAGTAATAAATCTGAGCAATAAGCCAAGTAATTTATAATTAATATAAGCCCCTGTTTGTTTACTTGAGACGGAATGGCTGCAGGACCAGGTGGAACAGAAACTTCTATCTACATGTGGTACCCAATGTGGGGCTTGAACTCATGACCCTGAGATTAAGCATCTTATACTCTACTGACTGAGCTCAATCTCAGGATGTCTTCCAGCCATACTGAGGAGTCTGAGGTTTGGTGGAAAGCTTGTGGATCAGCCCTTTCAGTGTGAGGTAGAGGCAAGAGTCAGTGACCTGATGCTTTGCTCCTCTGATCTTCACCTTGAAGCTTGAACCCCAATATCAGTCTCTGTATATTTTATTTTTCATGTTACATGTGTCTTTTTGGGTGTTTCCAGGGAAGTTTAACTGAGGATGCAAAGACTGGAGCGGCAGGATCCCACTGAGTGAGGTTCCTTACTGTACTAAAAGAACTGTGGAAAATATGATTGAAACTTTAATGGAGGTTACATTGAATCTGTTGACCATAATCAATAGTATGACCACTTTTAAATGTTAATTCTACCCACCAATGAACACTGGTCTTTTTTATTTCTAGTGCCTGCTTCAACTTCTTCAATGTTCAACAAAGCAATTTTGAACAAAAACAAAAGCGCAACGTTCAGTGATATAACAATTAAATTCAAATAACAGAAACCAGAGCTTGTTATGTTTTGAAGCATTTTCGTCTCAAGGAGATAACACTGCTTTGGGGTAAGGTGTAATCTTTCAATAAGGAGCTTAAGTGGTGGATGTCACTGGGATGAGCCTTGGATGCTACCCCTACCCCCAATGTCCTGCTTCCATTCAGTAACTCAACTTTGCATTTCTCATGGGATGGGAAGCAAGCTCCCACCACCAAGGACTGAGTCTGACCCAGCCTTCATGTGTTCTCCACCATTTTGTCTGACAGAAAGTAGGAACTTTGTCTCACTTTTCAGACAAAATGGTGGAGAACACAGTTAGGAAAAAATATAATTGTCACAGAGCCATGGTAAAAAAGACAACTTTGTGGTAATATATCATTTATGACTTATTAAAGCTTGCCTGAGGATTCAGAAAGCAAAGTCAGCCACAAGCCATAGAAATCAATCATGCATATACCTTTAATCCCATCAGCCAGAAGCTAAGAGGTGGTGGTACATACTTCTAATCTTAGGACGCGGGATTAAAAGGTAGACGAATCTCTTTGAGTTCTCGGGTACGCAGCATACATGAGGTTGAATCAGTCTTTAATTCCAGCACTAGAGGAGTATAAAGATAGAAACAGGACCTTCAGTATCAAGTAGAAGATATTCATTCTTCAGTCACACTGAGGAGAGGTTACAGACTGAGACTTGGTGAGAGCTCTTGGAGACAGGATCAGATAATTCAGCCTGAGGTAGAGGTAAGAAGCTAGTGACCAGTTGCTTTGCTTTTCTGAACTTCAGCTTCATTTATTTTTTTATCTGAAGAAACTATGCAGGCCCAGCACAATGAAGACTGAGAGGGAGACAAAGATCCGTCAGGCTCTATTTTGTTGAGCAAATATAGGGTGAGATACAGAAGTGAGAGAATGGTTTATGTCCTGCCGAGAGAGGCAGGTCTGAAGAGGTGAAAGGGGGTGAGGAGTGGGCTGAGTTGGGTGGCCTGCTTGGTACTTGGAGAAATGGTGATGCCTCAGTGACCCTTTTACTTTGCCCAGGTAACATTTTAGAGCTGGCCCCGGTGGTGTAGGCACGGGTGGGTGAGCTGACCATGAGAGCATGAGAACAAGAGAACCAGTCCCACCCTTGCTCCTTGCTCCTTGCTCCATAGGTTGAACTAGCAGGAGGAAAATTGTTGAACTCAGCCTGGTAGTAAGGATCGGGGAGAGTTGGGAGGGATGACCAACCCAGCAACCACCCAGGCCCAGAGTCAGGGCTATGAGTTGGCCAACCCCAACATTCACATCTATGATCTGCTGGAGCAAAAGAAGGTGCCAGCTCTGCAGATCCAAAGTTGCAGAATCTCCATGACACAGAATGACAGGATATCCAAGAGGCATCTTAGTGAGACCTAGTATTGACAGAGTAGCTGAAACCAGAGGCCTCAAAGCAGATCAAAGACTCACTGCTCTTAACATTTGCAAGTAAGATGCATGGACTAAAGGGTGTAGTGTGTGACCCACCGTGTCACATTACAGCTTTCACAATGAGGTTTTTCTTTCATTGTAAATGTTATTTTCTTTTATCATGGGGGGCTGTTGCAAGGGCAGAGGGTGGGTGCAAAGGGATGGGGAGATGAGTGGGATTGAGATGCATGGTGTGAAATCCACAAAGAATCAATAAAAAGCTAAGTGAAAGAAATCTATACAAACTAGTAGAAAGGTGGTGGTAGGTAAGCGGAGGTGAATTGGAATACAGGTAAAAAGGAAACTATGGAGTAATGGAAGCAAAAATTATCAGATAATTGTATACCTGTGTGGATATCCAGACTACATGCAGAATTCAAGCAATTCAAGACAACACTAGAAGGATCCAATGTATAAATATGCAAATTAACTAAACAAGTACTCATCAGAAGAAGTACAAATGGTCATTAGTGGAAGAAGAAATGACAACATTGTACACTAGTAAAATACTTCAATAAAGAAATTAAAAAGTGGGCTGGAGAGATGGCTCAGAGGTTAAGAGCACTGACTGCTCTTCCAGAGGACCTAAGTTCAATTCCCAGCAACCACATGGTGGCTCACAACCAGCTGTAATGAGATATGGCACCGTCTTCTGGCATACAGATATGAATGCAGGCAGAATACTGTATACATAATAAATAAATAAATCTTTAAAGAAAAAATAAAAAAGTAATTAAAAACTGATACCAGAAGATGAAAAGACCTCCCATGCTGATCTATTCCTAGATTTAATAGTACAAAAATGGTCATCCCACCAAAAGCAAGAATAAATGCAATTCCTGTCAAAATTCCAACTCAATTCTTCACATAAGTTAACAAAATAATGCAAATTTCATATGGAAACATAAATGACCCAGGATACCTAAAACAATCCTGGGCAATAAAAAATTCTGCTATAGGCATCACAGTCCTAGATAGCAAATTATACCACAGAGCAATAGTAGCAATAAGAAAATACTTCAAGGCCGGGCAGTGGTGGCGCACGCCTTTAATCCCAGCACTCAGGAGGCAGAAGGTGGATCTCTGTGAGTTCGAGGCTGGGCTGGACCGACAGCCTCCAAAACAATACAAAGAAAATACTTCAAAAATGAAGCCTTTTAGTTTCACATGGTTCCAATTTATTAATTAGTATTTTCAACCCTGTGTTATTAGTGTCTTGGACACAAAGTCCTTTCCTGTACCTATGAGGTCAAGGGTATTTCCACTTTCTCTTGTATCAGATTCAGGGTGTCAGCCTTATGTTGAGGTCCTCTGTCCACCAGGAGTTAAGTTTTAAGCAGGGTGAAATATGAACATCTTGTTTGTTCTCCATATAGCTATCTAGTTTGTTATCATTTATTGAAGGTGCTGTCTTTTCTCCAATGTGTATTATAGTCCCCTTTGCTCAAAATAGTGTTCTTTATAGTGCTTTTCATAGTGACTAATATATTGAAATAGCTAAAATGTGTATCAATTGAAGAACGAATGATGAAAATGCTGTACATGAATGCAATGAAATATTATTTAACTGAAAATAAGAGAAAAATTATGTCATTCACTGGTGAATGGATGGAATTAGAAAGAATCACCATGAATGAGGTAACCCAGACTCATAAAGTCATTTAACACATTTTTTTTCATTTCATGTTACCTTTGAACATTTTTTTGAAACAGGCTTTCTCTGTATTGTTTTGGAGTCTTTCATGGAACTTGTTCAGTAGACCAGGCTTGTCTCGAACTCACAGAGATCCACCTGTTTCTGCCTTCCGAGTGCTGGGATAAAAGGCGAGCTCCACCAATGCCTGGTTGTTTGCTTTGAACTTTAAATATGTATGTTCTAGGCCTCCTCACTGACACCCACATTCAGGGGTTCTGGATCAGTCCCATGCTGGCATCCCAGCCTTCAGTCTGGGGTCCAAGAGCTCCCCTTTGTTCAGGTCAGCGGTTACTGTAGGTTAAACAAGCCCAGTATTGACCCCTTTTCTCATCAGTCCTCCCTCCTATCACTGGGTTCCAGGAGTACAGTTTGGTGTTTAGCTTTGGATGTGTGTCTCTGCTTCCATCAGTCATTGGTTGAAGGTTCTAGGATGGCACATAAGGATGTAGTCAATACAATGGACTTTGGGCTTTGAGTGCCCATCCCACAATGAGGCATGCTCTCTCAGCCTGAACTCTTGAGGGAGAGCCTAGACCTTGCTGTGAATGAAATGACAGACACTGGATATTCCCTATGGAGGGCCTTACCCTCCCTTGGAAATGGAGTGGTAATTGGGTGCCAGGCTGGGAGGGTTGTTGGGAGGGGATGAGAAGGGGGGGGAGAAGGAGATGGGATTGACATGTGTAGCAACCTTGTTTCTAATTTAAATTAAAAAATCTAAAAAAATATAAGTTTTATTTTGAATACTCATAGAAACTAAAGAATTAACTAAGTTTCCAATGGGTGTGGTCTTTCAAGGGAGAAAAGGGTGTATTAAAGTGAAATAATTAAATAGGAAGTGTTAAATTGGGATGAGGGATGGGAACACAAGGTAGAGACAGGAACACATAGGGAGGGTTAATTAACACTAAAGGCATTTCTAGAAAGTCTTATGGAAACCTACTAATATAGAATTGTCTAAATACATGGGCATATACACTTATGGAAAAAGTTTTAATCATTATAATGTGGTGACAACATACCTACTAGATTCCACATAGCAACAAATAAAAATATCTCAGTGCCAGGGATGGGTTACATTTTTTAGAGTTTGAATTGTTAGCCAGTGAGGTACAATAGGCCCCAAACATTAAGTTAATGCCAAAGCTCCTGGTCACCCCAAAACTTGACAGAAAAATACTATTGCTGAATGCACAACATATGCAAGTCATAAAGCAGTGAGAAGCCAAAGCAATACTCACCGGAAGGTTCATCTTTGCTGGCTTTCCTTGTGCTGGATGGTGCTACACATGCCAGCAGATGAGAAAATTAATACTAAATCTTGCCAAACTCTATGTCCTAACAACTACAACAATAACTGGCCTGTCAATTCTGACACAATCATGGATGTTAGATGTAAGGACAGTTCCACCAGGTGAAACTCATACCTTGTACTGTTATGGGTACCAAAAACTTGTGACTAGACAGATCATAACCAATAGGGGAGAGAGAGTCTGCAGTTTTTATTCTGCTAAATGAATATAACATCAACCAACTCCTAATGACTTATTGTTATGCCCATAGATTTTCAACTATCATCAGAGAAGCAATTAACACAGAGAACTGCAACTGGTCAAAGTGCAGAGAATATGAGTCTCTAGAATGCTTGGCCCTAAATGAGACCTCTATATCTTGCCAGGCCCTCTCCAGACTCAGGGACCATCATGGAGAGCAGACAGCTGAAACTCAGAGCCAGAGGCAGTGAATGAGTGCATGGACATGGTATCTTCAGGACAAAAGAGGACAGATACACATATGAGTTCATGGAAGTTGTGACAAGATAGGCAAGACATATGCAAGCTCAAGCCAGACAAAATTTCAATTTGTAAAAGGGAAGTGGGTGGGCAGGAAGTACCACCCCTAACTGAGGAGCTTTTGGAAAATTGATAACTGTTCAGAGAGAGAGAGTGGATTTTCTTTAAGTGTTTGGCTCATGGCATGTGGACCAGGCTCCAGTGGAATGACATACATACAAGTGCATATGGACAGCACAAATTGGACTTCATGGTTAAAATAAAAATAAATAAATAAAAAAACACATGGAGAGGGTTAGATAGGTAAAGGTTAGTGAATTTGGGAGAACTTGGATGAAAGGGGTCAACGTAATAAAAATTCGTTGTATAAAATTCTCAAAAAAACCTCTTCAGAAACAAATTCCAGAAGTTACTTGCTCTGTGGTATACAATACACCATTCTGATGTTACCTATTTGTGTTATCCACTTCCAGACAACTGGCCTGTGTGCATAATCTTTTCCCCACATGGAATGAAAAAGTAAGATTTGATAATGGAATTTTCACAAGGGGAAAGTTAATTGTCGTATTAAAAACAATGAAGTTCTGGCCCCACCAGACCTCTTTTAATTTACAATACAAGAATGCAAATTAAGCCAAGTTTATATTTTTTAAGAGATACAGTGTAATTTTTTTAAATACTTGCTTGAATCAGCTAACAGTATTTTCAATTAAGTCCGTCCAAGCTTGTGCCAATGAAGGGATCAAATTCATGTAGAGATAGTAGCCAGGGTTCATCATTTTAAAAATACTGTTAGCTGTTTCACACACATATCTGAAAAAACCAATAAGCTACATCTCTCAAAATGTAAACTCAGCTTAATTTAGACTGCTTTCTATTTTAATTCAAACTGTTTCTTGGCTCAATTTTTCAATATTGGAAGATAAGGCAATGTATGAATTTATATTGTTCACCAATTAATAGTCACAGTAGGTATATCTCAGAAGCAAAAGTACTATCCCTACCCAAGTGCAGTTTTGAGAGTGCTTTATTCTGCATTGTTAATCATATGCAAATATGTATTAGGACTGTTGATACATCCATCTTTTTAATGTCTTTATAGCTTGTTAAAGTGAAGTTGAAGGAGCTCCTGGAGGAGTGATACACTGCATATAATGGACTTGGGAATGAAAACTTTGGTTCTATATGCTTAATTAGTTTCTAATTTCTCAGTAATCTCATCATGAGTCTCTAACAGAAAGTAATATTGACCATCCATATGGTACAAGTGGGTGCTGGCATTTTAGATCATTCTCTGGAGGGCTCAGTAAATTATTTACTAAGCCTAATGTACTACTAATTCAAATTAAACTTCACCTCCAGTGTAATTGTAAATTTGGTGAGTAAATAGCACCCTATAATCATCATAGGCTTATTATTAGAATTAAGTGAAATCATGTGCCCAGCACAATGTCTGTGAATAAAATAAATGAACAACCCACTCTGCTCCATTTAAGAAATTAGTTCACATTGTACTTCCTATCAGGGAAGGAGAAGGCATACCTTGTACCTGAGTAATCAAATGAAAATCAGGTGAACACAATGATAGCAACATGAAACAGTCAATCTGTCAATTTAATTCTACAAATTAAAGCTGTCCTGGAACTTATCAATTTGCTAATATGAGTGTCTTGACCTTGTGCCTGCAATGTTGGTCTCTGGAGACACACATCAATCTTGATCAGTTATATGCCAAAGTTATTGCTATTTTGTTGTCAATATTTGTTATATTAAATGTCAATTTTATTGTCTTTTGTTTTTTTAACTTTAAATGCAAATACTGCCAAACCTCTGTGCTAATAAAAACTTTCCTGCAAATAAAGTTAGTTTCTTTGTTAAGTGGTTTTATTTCTGAGTTTACCTTTGACAAATGACTTCTAGTAAATTCTCAATAAATCATTTTTTCCACCAGTGTTGTACAGTCATTTTCATAGTGTTTTATAAACGTATAGAGATCAGAACCTACATTGTTTATGATAAAATTTTGTGCTGTAAATGTACGAGACGTTGAGTGGAACGGGTTCTGCAGTTACCTAAAACTGTTGTGTAAACAGTGATGCGTGCTCCTCTAGGTCAGTATTGTGCTCTGGCAGGGACTGAGAAAGAATACCATGAATTTTGAATACCTAACTATCAATCTTTATTTGCCAAGCTCTACATGTGATTAAAAGGTACAGCATATATCTACACACACACACACACACACACACACACACACACACACACACACACACGTGTATGTCAGCCAGTCTAAACATCTCACCTACAGCAAAGACTGACCACTCCCTATAAGCATGTCCTTCTTGTCTGGGACATCATTTGTTCTTGGAATATTGTCTACTTTGAACACCCTAATGGATGAGTTAGGTAGGTTGTACAGACTAAGCCTTCCTCAAAACACATAATAACTGACCTACATAAGTGACCCTAGAAAGTCCCAACTCTGAATGAGCTGAACCAGTATGGACAAAGGCATGAGCAATATGGGCAAACTTCCTGCTATCAAAACTTGCATGAATTGTCGAAGCCTAACAGGGATATTACATAATCCTACAGTCAGACACCTTCTACCTTTAATGAATGCAAAGTATGCATATTATTCAAGGTTTATCTGGGCATGATTTCACAAACCAATCACAACACACATGTATGAACCTTGTGACTTGACAAAAAGAGCCACACCTGTCCTTGGAGGTCAGGAATTGAGGCAACCGGTTCAATTCCACCCCACTCACCTCTCATCATTCCTTAAATAACCAACCATGATTCCTACTGACTTGTCAATGCTTGTTTTGGTCAGGAAAAATTAATCAGTGTTTTAACATTTTTGTGCATTTTCTAGAGCTTACCTGTTTGATTTTTAGACTGTGTGATCAAATTGTGCAGTATTTAATTTGTGAAAGTGACCCTCTGGAACTTCATATACTTCAATTCACAAAGTGTACTTTATGTACTACAAGAATTGATCCTAAGATTCTTCTAAAGACAAATGAGTAGAAACTATTCTTCCTCTTATTTATATTTTTATTAAATGGAAAAATTTTTTATTAGTATTAGTGTGTGTGTGTCTCCACATTCTTGTGTGATGTGTGCTTGTGGACATGCATGTCATAGTGCACATGTGGAGGAGGTCAAAGGACAATTTTGTGAATTCTGTTCTCATATTAGTTTAAAATGGGTCCTGGGATCAAACTCAGGTTGTCTAGATCATGTGACAAGTACCTTCACCCATTGGCTCATCACTCTGGTCTGAATTCATACTTCCTAAACTGTATATTTAATGACTAAAGGTATAGTTGCCATCCTAATAACTTTGTAGTGTTACAAATGGTTATATCTGATGTGGTGGTTCAGCCCTAACCTGGGTTCAGGTTCTGGGAAGAGGAAGGAGGTTCGGCATGAAGAAATGAACTATCTGACCATCAGATGAGTTTCACACAAGTGGTCAGCGCAAATAGCTCTAGCCTTTTGTAGTCTTTATTTATACATCAAAAGCAAGCATGTTTTTCTATAGTAACAAACAAGTTTTTCCCATCCTCCAATGTTAATCTCTGGCAAAAACAAATATGTCAAATATGTTTTTCCTAACTTTCACATAAAATATCTTTAAACCCAAAACACTTATTATTTTGCTAACTTGGGCAAATACGGAACCAGGAATATCCTTTCCTTACAAAATTAAAGGTGATAAACATATGCATACATTTTCAAGAACAACATCGTTCAAAATGTATTTACAGAAATAGGGGAGATCTGCCTCCGATCCTGTCAGCACCAAATTAGAACAGCTCCAGGGTCTGAAGTGACAGTTGGCATACCCAAACAAGAAACCTGAGAAGCATCAGCTCCCAAAGAATTTTTGAGGAAAATATTAGAGGAAAAAATGGGGTTTCCAGGAATTATCACATCTGTCATACGCATGATTGACAAATGACACTTAAAACCACCAAGGAAATCATCAATATTACGAGAGAAAAGTTAGCATGCAGGTCACATGGTTCAAGTACTGCTGCAGAGTCCACCAGTCCTTGCCACGTGAGATGGCCCCGTGTGGAGACCCATTGGACAAGCACACAAATACTGGTCTGTAACTAGGCAGTACAGCTCCCTATAATCTGAGATAAATTTTCAATGATTTATTGAAATACACAGTTTTTAATGTTAGTTCGACAGTTGTCAGAATGACATGTTATATTGAGTAGTGTTAATTTTGTAAATATTATGTAGTCTGTTTTGTTCAAGGACAGCTTGATAAGTATGTAGCACACATTTAGAATTTGGAGATCATATTTTGGTGTACAATACATTAAAAATATCACCTCTGATGTGAAATATGTACTCCATTTTGCAAAAACAAACATAGCACAAAATGTACTTTCAGTGTCTTTAAATATTAACTGTGGTAAAATCTCAAAAATTATTTCCAATAATTTTTTAAAATAGATTTGCTTTATTTTTAATTGGGTGTTCATTTGTGTGTGTTGGGGAGGGCCGGGGCTGAAATATGCACATGAGTGATGGTGCCCACAGAGGCCAGAAGAAGTTTGGAGCCCATAGAACTGGAGTTACAGGTGTTTGTGACCATCCTGACATGGATGATAGGGCCTGAACTCAATCCTCTTGAAGAGTTACATTTGTTCCTCACTGCCAAGCCATCTCTCTATAACTCTCTTTCAAATACCTTATGCATTTATCCAATTTCTGTTTTTCCATGTATTGTTTTGCAACTGAATTTCTTACCTTCTGTGACTATTTTATGCTACTCATTACTTTATGCATCTCAGAGGAAGTTCTATTAGGAAATACAGTGATGATGATTCAGGAAATGACACCTGACCTACATCCCGAAAGATGAATAAGACTCTGACATGATTGTACATTTACACAATGGAGTATTAGTCAGCTGTTACTGTCATCATGAAAGATACAGGCAAATGGATGAAACTAAAAATAGGAAACATCATTCTGAGTGAGGTAACCCAGATCCAGACCTAAACATGTTATATTGTCACTTAAAGTGGAATTATGTACTCATTTAGCTGTTAAGTAAATGATAATCACACTACAATCCATTGACCCAGAGAGACTAAATAGTACGGAGGCATCAAGTGGAAATGCATGGATCTCCCCATCAAGGTGAATAGATTTTCCAGGTGAACTGCGGAGGGTGGAAATGAAACAAAAGGGATTAGGCAGAGTTGGGAGTAATGGAGAGAGAGAATACTGGGAGACACAACTGGAATTTGGAGGCATTTCAGGAGCAATGTTGAAACCTAGTGCAATGGAAACTCCCTGGAATCTAAGAGAGTGACCCTATTGAATACTCTTATCACTGCGGGATACAGATCCTGAACCTGCCATCTTCTGTAACCACGCAAGACTTCCAGTGATGGGACTAGGTCACCAAACCAGCCACAAAACTTTGGAACTACAATTTATCCTTTGAACCTACAGATGTGCTGAGGTAATAGTGACACAGGATTGTAGCTAACCATTGACTGATATAACTTGAGGCCCATACCTGATACTTCCTGCAAAGTCAAGAACCAGAGGCCAGAGGGCGTTGGTGGCACATGCCTTTAATCCCAGCACTCGGGAGGCAGAGGCAGGCGGATCTCTGTGAGTTCGAGACCAGCCTGGACTACCAAGCGAGTTCCAGGAGAGCCTCCAAAGACACAGAGAAACCCTGTCTCGAAAAACCAAAAAAAAAAAAAAAAAAAAAAAAGAACCAGAGGCCAGGTAGCTCAGAGATCTAGGATAGACCTAAACATGATTAGGAAAATCATTCAATGAAATGATTTTAAATTGTATTCTGCTATGCTTATAGACAGGAGCCTAAACCAATTGTTATCAGAGCAGCTTCATTCACCAACTCATGGGAGCAGTTTCTCAGCAGACGCACAACCAATCTGCAGTGCTTGGAGAACCCCACAGAGAAGGAAGAAGATTGTAGGAGCCAGACAGCTTGAGGTAACCACAAGAATACAAAAAATATGGTCCATGGAACCAACTAAGCAGAACTCATGGGACTCACAGAGACCAAATCCACAGTAAGAGAGCCTGCACGTGTCTGACCTAGGTCCTCTGGATGTTTGTTATGGTTGGATAGCTTGGTGTCTTTGAGGGACTCCCAACAGTAGGAGTAGGGACTGTTTCTGAGTCTTTCCTGCTCTTGGGACCCCTTTCCTCCTGCTGGGTTGCACTGTACAGCCCTGATATGAGGGTTTGTTTCTAGTCTTATTGCAAGTTTTTGTACCTATTTGGTTGATATTCCTGGGAGGCCTGCTCTTTTCTAAAGGGAAACAAAGGAAGAGTGAGTCTGGGTGGGAGGTGTTGGAGAGGGACAGGATTGCGTGGAGGGAGGGAGTGTACTATGTAAGAGAAGAATAAATAAATAAATAAATAAATAAATAAATAAATAAATAAATAAAAAATAAGTACTTTTTAAAAAGCTCCCAGTCGTCAAGCAGAGGTCTAGAACCAACTGATGAACACCTCAGCACCTCTGTATGTTTTTTCTTCCAACCACAAAGTTCTTTCTTTGCGTTCAGATCTCAGGTTCTTGTATATTTCATTCCCTTGGTTCTGAGGGCATTCTAAAGTAGAAAAGGAGCTCAATCCAGCAGTCAGTAGATGGAATATATAAAAGAAACAAAACAAAAAACAAAAACAAAACCAGAAGGGTTATTTTTCATTTTCTACTTTAATGCCACTAAGAAAAAGGAAAGAAAAAAATCAGTATAAAGGAATTCTTTTCTGTCTTTTGACCCAAATTAAGCTTTAGAGATAGCTACAAAAATCAAGCAACATCTCACTTCCTTCTATAAACAGAAGAAAAC